TTGCATAAAGTCCTCTGTTCTCCTTCTAGAAATCTCGAAATTGTAAAGAACTTTGAAATAGATTGTAAAATTAGAAAGTGCAGGAACAATTGTTAGGGGGCTATTTTTTAACAGCATGCCGAGGGTGGTCGGTCATGTCATAAATTGTGAGTTGCAGTTTTTTAGAAATCATACCGTACCGTCACGAAATGACCCTGACTAACTAACCGAGGGCGAGGGGTGGCGACGGTACTGGATACATTTTAACTTGAGTTTTTAAGAGACTCAAATTGAACTCCAATAATGACGGTTGACTTTGTAACAAAAAAAGAAAAAACTTTGTACTTGCACTAAAAATAAAAATTTATTCGAACTGCAATCTGTATTTTAATACAACGTTTTAAGTGGTTAAGACGCAACAATGAGTACAAACAGCGTAGTGAATGCCTTCTGGAACTAAATGATGTTCCACAAGGACCCATTGTCGAATTGAATCCAAGGCGTACTTATCCTTATGAGGTAGCCTCTTTACCAAACAAATCTGTCCAGTGTGAGTTGTGACACATATTTGTTATTAGACTGTATCGAATTATTATCCAGCACATATTAAAAAATTGTATCCTGTGGATTTGGAAAAAAGAGATGAATTTCACTTTCAAAAGAGATAAATTCACTTTAGCGTTTAATTATACTTTTATCACTTTTAGTAGATTTTAACTACACACAAAACTAACTACACATTAGAGAATCTATTAAAAGGGAAAGAAACATGAATTTAAAAAATCAATTCACTCACACCTGTTTACTCTATTCCTAGAGCTCCCTCTTGAAGATAAGAACTGTAAGAACTGTGACATTTGCCTATGTACTTTGTTTATCTTGTACTTTAAAATGTAAAAATCTATGAAAACCTATAATGAAAAATACTCATTATCGCGTACGTTATTATAAATGATAAAATAATTCAACTATAAAAGGGCGAAAATTGAAACAGTGCAGGTATTCAGTTTCAGAAATCCTTTTGTTCTTGAAGTAGACGTGAAACAAAACCACTCTTCACCATGAAAGCCTTCGTAGCAATGCTAGCATGCTTAGCCATCACTGCCAGTAAGTTTTGCTATTATTAATACGTTGCATTCAAACAATTAGTTATTTAATATTTGACTACGAACTAGAATACTCATTGCGTCAAACAAATAGTTTTAATTTAGATATTTAAGACATTACAAAATTCCAGTTCATTTCTTTGATTTTCACATTGAAAAATGATACATCGCAACTAATGAAGCCGCAACTTGTTTTGATATCATCACCCTAAAGTCCTAAGACTGGTTGGACACGCACCTCCACTCCTTCCTATCCTGAGCTAATCTTCGCATTTCCCTAAAACTAGAATATCCCACATCCCTCACTATTTGCGAGCAGTAATCTAATCTAGGTCTACCTTTACTCCTCTTAACTCCAGCTTCTGCCACTGATATGATTGAAAAAAAATTATTCTGGGTATAAAGAAAAAGAAGCTTTCAAAATAAACAAAATCACATTTGTTTATCATACACGATATATGTTACGACCGAAAATTGGAAGTTAGACGACACGTAATTCAAAACTAATTTGATAATTTGCGTTTTATAATATAAGGCAATATGAAAGAGAAAAAATAGCATATGTCGATGAATAATTAGTATAAAATTGTGTAAAATTGCGTTAATAGGCCTTCAAATGATTCACTTGGTAAATTGAAATTTAGATAAAGAAAATATTTACGTTTGAGTATTCACCATTTACTAATCAGATTTATGATTCACCATTTTCTATTAAAAGTAATTAGCAAAACCAAGTTACAATTAGGAATCCCCTCAAATAGTCCAAGAGGTTCTAGATTCGTACATTGATAAAATACATTTTTTTGAAGTGAAAACTTCTTTAGCGACGTTGGGCACTTTTTGGCAGGGGAAAATGTTATGGGTTCGCGTCACCGACATGCTCACGACTGGCGCACGCGCAGCGGCCGTGTGCTGTAGGCGTTAGACGCGTTTTGGATGGGTGAAATCTAGTGCGTTCGCGTCACCGACATACTTGTAGCAGTATATTTAAGTATATCTGTAGCTATACAGCTACGCCGATCGATGCGGTTTTTACGCGATACTTAGATAAATTTCAATCAAACGTTTTCATTTCTTACTTTAGTTACCATAAGCCTATTGTATTTTTTTTAGAACACAATGAAATAATTGAAAGTACAAAAAGTCTAAGTATTGTTGAAATTAATGATGACAATGATGCAAACAATGTTAAAAATTAAGTACATTGAAATTTATGTAAATATTTGAATAATAAAAAAACATATAAGCATGCATATAATTTAGAAAATACTACAAATGGCGCAGTAGCACAATGCTACATTTTAGGATTACGTGCTACAGATGGCGTTTACTGCGCCATTTGTAGTATTTTCTAAAACGCACTGTTAAGAGAGCAGGTGAAAGTTGGTCAGTGTTCTGTCGGAGCTGTCTGCGACGCGCTGATGAGATCCAAAAAGATCGAAATCGCGATCCGCGTCTGGCAGTTTTGACAGAATGCAGACTACTTCGAATTATTTTATGCATATAATTGTTGCTCGGAGTGTCAATAGATGTGAAAACCAGATTGATGTTGATAATTTTTAGTCAAACATTGTGAAATTTCAAATTTTAATACTAAAAGTTCTATGTTTTCACTTCTATCGGCAGTCCCTATTACTGCCAATTTTTTTTAATTATTTTAACTTGCCTAAAATACCTTCCCTAAATTCGATATCAACCCTCCGACTAAAATGCCTGCCTATGACTATGTACATTTTAATAGAACTACTGGGATATCGTGAGCTATCTTCTTTTAACTAATTTCAGGCGCAGTACCACTTGGTACAGAATACCAATCAAGGACTGATGAAATCAAGGAATTCCTTGCGCGTTATGATCCCGCAAGAATTTCTGACGTATCCCTTGTTTTACTTGACGCGTAAGTACACACTTATCTAGTTTCTTTTATGGGGCTACTGTGAAGTAATAGTGCTAAAATCATTTTCATACTCTGGATGAATCGCAACATTTACAAAATGATCATCTTCTAATTCTCGAACGAAAATTAAAGATTAACTTGGAATTTCTAGTTAAAAAACTGTAGGCTGCAATTCCTTAAGTTAATTTGTACATGTCAGTGAAATATTGTGAAATATTTTTATTTTATTTTTTTCTAAACAACTGCTTATGACAAAATTATTGCTAGCAGAGGAAATAGTTTGCAACTAAATATCGTAACAGTTCAAATTCTATGTTAGCTTCACACCTACCAAGAGTAAAATAGGAAAGTTTCATTGAAATATATTCAGTAATCCTTGCGTCAATTTCGAACATAGAAGATCATAAGTAGTTATCAATTTATTATATATACATGCTGATAGACAAGAACTTATTTTTAAACAATAGAATGACTATCTATACATTTTTTGAAGAGTGACCGTTACACTGGCATCGGCATCAGTGAGTGGTTTCTCCAAATTTACCTTCCCAGAATGGAGCAATGATGGTGAAAACATAGAAGGTACTTTCGAACTTGCCACCCTTGCTGCTAATGTGGACAGCCTTAACGTAGAACTTGACTCAGGGCTTACCGCAGCTGTTCCAGCACTCGAGTAAGTGATATACATCATCATCATCATCATAAGGTCGTCAGCCCTAAGACTGGTTGAACACGCACCAACACTCTTTCCTATCCTGAGCTAATTTCCGCATTTCCCTAAAACTAGAACATCCCACATCCTTAACTATTTGCGAACAGTAATGTACGTCTACCTCTACACCTCCTAACTCCTATTTCTGCCTCTGTATGTCTCTGACTAGGCCTTCATGTCTAAGAAGGTGCCCTAGTAACCTATCTCGCCTATTTTGTATTGAGGGTCCTCTGTTCTCCTATCTTTCTAATACTTCCTCATTTCTAACCTTCTCGATCCACGGTATCCTCATCATTCGCCTGTAACATCACATTTCGAACGTTTCTAACCTCTTCATTTTCGCTGTGCCCATTGTCCATGTTGCGCACCCGTACAGCGCCGCATTCCGAACATATACCTTTAACAACCTTTTTCGAATTTCTAAGGCGACTCGACCCTACGCTATCTTCTGCTTTATATCCCTAACACACTACTTCTTCCGTCCTGACTTATCTGACTTCATAGATACCTAAAATCAGCCACTTCTTCTAATTTTCCGTCTTCTATCTTTATATTCGCTCTTTCCCTGCTTTTTCTTCCCTTCCATACCAGTATTTTTGTTTTACATTTATTTATTTTCATACAATACTGTTTTGTCAATACCGCTTCCATTTTATTTAAAGCTGTCTCTAACTCCTCCTTGCTAGATATTAATACTGTTACAGTGATTTACATACTTGTGTATAATATCATTGAGTGGTTTCTACCTACAGTACTTTATATTATCTGTATCTTACATGACAATTCCAACAAGCAAATTACGTAGGCAATGTTGATAAGCTTTACATCATTACAAACACTTTCTAGCGCCTCCGTTGATGGACTGACCGTTGAATTTAAACTCTCCTACACCACTTCACCTCTTCGTTTGACTTCCCTTTCAGCTCTTCTTCAAGTTAAAGACGTTTCCGTAAGTATTAAATAGAACAATACCATTCATAATTGGCATTTTATGTGTCGAATCGCGTTTTAGAATTGTAATTTAATTTATAGAATGATGCGGTATTAAAATTCTTATTTTAACCCTAAACAAGTAAATTTAACAAGTTGTTTAACCAAAAAGATTTTCCACTGTTTATCTATTTTCTACTAACCTATAACTCATTATTTGTTTTTTATGTAGGTTGAAGGAAGTGTAAAAATTAACGACCTCAGCCTTGACTTGTCAGTTGGCAGCGAAGTTGTTGAAAGAATCAACAGCAGGGCAGTTGAAGCACAGGAAAGAGTGAGCAGGGTCCTTATGAATGTCGTCAACCGTATTCTTGCTATTGTCGATCCATGAGGTCATTTACTGATAAACGAAATGTCCTTGAAGTATTTTCCATAAAAATATAAATAAAAATATTTGCAAGCATGTTTTGTATTATTTGAGTAGGATATTGAACCTTTTCGTATTAGTTAATATCGTTGAATTGCCATGTTTCGAGTGCGATTTTTTAAATTCAAATTATAAATGGTAAATTCGTCTACTCATAGAGTCGTGGGTTCTGATAACACCGAAGTAACGATTGCGGTGTCATATAAGAAATGGGTCAAACTGAACGTTCTATCAAAAAACGATTAGGTGAACATAATCCTATATTTAAAACAATACAAGTCTCGTAACGAAAAGTGTAAATAATATTAAAGATTGCACATCCGAAATAAAAGTGAAGGCATTAAACTAATTTTTACCACTAAAGATAATCTCAAATTAACGAAGAAAACTTGTTGCTTGTGTCACGCCTTCGTCAGAAATCGAACCCCGGTCCATGGCTTTATACGAGGGTGGATTGATAAGTTTCCGGCCTAACCAAGAGATGACGCCACTAGGCCTACCTTGAGGTGACATTCTATAGTACCATCCTTGGATAGCTTGTAGCTATAGTTTCAGCCCGATCTCCTTGCTAGTGTAGGTTTGACAGCACGCTGAACAAGACGCCTCTGTGGTTTTCGTAAAAATGGAAAAGCAGGAAAATCGTGCTGTCATCAAATACTTTTATTTGAAGGGGTTAACGCCGAAGGAAATTAAAAAAGAGATGGACTCAACACTGGGGACATCCTCCCCGTCATATTCAACCGTTAAGCAGTGGGTTTCCGAGTTTAAAAAGGGTCGTGTGAGCACCTCTGATGGGCCTCGCTCAGGACGCCCCGTTGAGGTCACAACTCCAGATATGATCGAAAAAATTCATCAAATAGTGCTGGGAGACCGCAGATTGAAAGTGCGTGAGATAGCTGAGACCTGTAAGATGTCATATGAACGTGTGCAACATATTTTGCACCAACATTTGCATATGGAAAAGCTCTGTGCAAGATGGGTGCCGCGTTTGCTAACAGTCGACCAAAAATTGATTCGAAAAAACATTTCTACCGCAAATTTGTCATTGTATAAGCGTAATCCAAGCGAATTTTTGCGTCGATTCGTAACCGTTGACGAAACGTGGGTCCACCACTACACTCCTGAAACCAAAGAACAGTCTAAACAGTGGATTGGACCAGGGGAACCAACTCCAAAGAAGGCAAAAACAATTTTTTCGGCGAACAAGGTTATGGCTACTGTTTTTTGGGATGCAAGAGGTATTATATACATTGATTACCTTGCAAAGGGTAATACTATCACTGGTCAATACTACGCAGACTTATTGCAACGTTTGAGCCACGAGGTGAAAATTAAACGACCTCATCTGGCGAAGAAAAAAATCTTGTTTCATCACGATAACGCACCAGCGCACACGTCAATCGTTGCGACGGCTAAAATCAACGATCTAAAGTTTGAATTGATGCCGCACCCTCCTTACTCTCCAGACCTAGCCCCGAGTGACTATTTTCTGTTCCCTAATCTCAAAAAATGGCTTGGCGGTAAGAGATTTGCGGACAATGAAGAAGTAATCGAAGCTGTAAATGGTTATTTTGAGGAGCTTGACGAATCAGTCTATAGAGATGGCATTTATAGACTGGAACACCGCTATGAGAAATGTATCAGCCTTGGAGGAGATTATGTTGAGAAATAAAAAAAAAAAATTTTTAAAAACCTTGTTTTTCTTGGTCAGGCCGGAAACTTATCAATCCACCCTCGTACATCATTGCTCTAGAGGTGACAGTAGCAACAACAACGATCTTGCCTAACTAGGTAGGTCACAGAATCGTCGAACCAATGTACAATCATTAAGAATGAGAATTTTAGGAGAATTTTTGTAGAGTTTATCTGTCTGTCCTGATCCAAGTTTCTCTGTTGTTTCCTTGAATTACTTAGACAAATGTGACAATTATATTCCACAGACAATCATTCACACTTTTCTGTCTAAATTTCGTCCGCCTCATCTTTCTCAACCCAAATCACCACCCATCCACTCCCACGATCCGTAAAAGGAAGCTCAGGGGAATCCTTCAGGCCTAATTATCAGCGTGGCCTGGTGACACTGCTCACTCACTAATATTAGCAGCTGGTGGGAATGAAATAACTTTTTTTAATGGTTAGTACCTCAAAAACATGTTTTTAATTGTTTCCATGTGGCATGGTAATATGTCTCGGAAAAAACGCGCCAGTAACTTGTTTACCCTTTTATTTATTTTAAAGGAGGGAAGTTAAATTAACAGGCATATGGGGTAACTTGAAAAAAGTGCTCATAACAAAGAACTTTCGACAAGTAAAGTTAAAGCATTTACATTGTACAAGCATATTACTGACTAAAATAAAAAAAANTTTAATTAGTTAAATCTAGTGTAATTGTTTACTTTCATTACATTTCAAATTTCTTTGTTGTTTTGTTCAGTTCAACTTTATAACATTTCTTTAACTGTTTAGGTCATAAATTCCTTTCTTCTATTGTTTGGCTTTATGATATTTTGTGAATATTCTAATTGTTACACAGACAAAATGTTCGTGAGGAATTCAAATAGTCCCTGATAGTATATATGAGGTTTTTCTGATTGTCACTAATACCTGACTCATTTTTGCACTCGACACCCTCTCATCTATGACGACATTCACGAAATTCCAACATTTGCTAGTTGTTCTCTAGTTTTAAGTAAATTTAAAGTTGTTGGTATATAAGAAACCTTCTTATTAAAAGCATCAAACCAAATTGGGTATTACTTTTACATGAAAACATTCTAGTAGAACGGAAGTTCAACAACGAAATTTCCGAGTGGTCTCCGGATAATTTTGTTATAATACGACTGCCAAATTATTATTTTAGAAAATTTTTACGTCCCTATTACTGCCAATTTTTTTTAATTATTTTAACTTGCCTAAAATACCTTCCCTAAATTCGATATCAACCCTCCGACTAAAATGCCTGCCTATGNTATATCAACAGTAGTGTAAATAAATAGAATAATTCATAACCTAAGTTTAGTAATAATTTAATAGTGTTTTTAAATTCTTTAATAATTAGTGTAAATAAGTAGTTCTGTCGTTATCAGTCTTAGAAATTAATTTTGTTAGACCCACTAACATTACAATATCATCAAACATATTTTGATCTAGGGTGTCTTTTAACCGAAACCCAAAATCAACATATTTTGAAAGAAAGTTTCCTTATTATGACATAAATCTATAAATTTTGTATTTCAATGAGACAGGGTTTGCATGCCAATAGATAATAAAACGTATTTAAGAACACATAAACGGGATGATGGTAAGTTCTTTTATAATTGAAATCAAAAACAATTGGTTATAATTCTGTCGCAGTTCCATAATCGATAGATACTCAATAATGGATATCTAAATAATTTGAGATTATTGGTGGCGAACTGCATAAAATGTAAGAGAAGTAGCCGATCAGGATCCCAAGACAATCGTAACAATGCGCCAAGTCGAAGTCATCTTTAATAATTTCTGCTTTCCGCTGAAACAAAGTCAATATTCCGACGACCCCAAGGACTTCCTTAACAAGATGTACCGTAAGATGTGAAGCAGAGGCAGCTCGTTATACGTATTAGGGGATGAAATGCAACCAGTTTATCTAGACTTGGTAACGATGAGCCCCTCGAAATCGAGCTTTAATTACTACAGAAAGTTAACAGAGCAAAAGTAATTTAAATGGAATTTATTTTTGACTTAAAAGTAAAGGAGAAAAACCTTGAAAATGTTTATTTCTTTGGCACACAATTTTGGTTAGGGTTATTTTCTGGGTAGTAAGCACGAGAGGGATAAAATATTTTCAAGGTTTGAAGTATAACCAAAAGGACCAAGAAAATTAAATTTGATATTTTTCAATATAGTTTGCTATCAATTGATATGTTTTAGGTTGGTTTTAGGTAAGTATTTTTAGTCGTTTCAACTTTTTTTCATTTTACAGACTTGCGTGTCTATTCGCCAAAATTAGCAATTTTTAAAGAATTGCTGATGGTAATGTTTGATAGAATCGAGTACAATACGTTGCTTTAAAGCACATTTCAAAATAAAATTTTTCATTAGAATGCAGAGTATTCATCATACAAATGGTATTTTGCAAAATTGGACGACGCGATAGCCCATTCGTATCATATCACAATTATTGTGATAAATTATGTTCATAAGTAACTGCTTATGTACTGCTGGACCAACGAGGCGTAGCCCCTGAGACAGTATTGCCTACAGATGCACATTGGACGATGGCTATTCTGTGTTAAGGAAAATCATTTAAGTTCAGCTGTTCTTCGAGCTAAGAACTGGAGGCACACTAACTGGCCCGGCTGTAATTTTCATAATCAATATAATTCATGAATAGATCAGAGCTCCTAGCGCTTCTAGGTGCTCCTGCAAGAGCGAGTGGGAGAGGTATACAAATCTACTGTCGTCGTTTTTTCTCGTTGACCCAAAAGAGACAGACATAGTGTCGAATGATACCAGTCTCTCTTTCTCCATAACCATAACCAAAAGGCTTACGGTTAGTTACGTAACACGCCCCCTGGTTCCGGAGGAGGAGAGGCAGGTAATGCTCGTCTCTATACAGGGTGTCCCATTGATAATAATTAAAAAAAAAAACATGGCTTCCTGACACAAAATACAACAAAAAAGTGTTTACAATTTTTCAATCCAGTGACAATTGAGCTCGCAAATCGTCTTTGTAAATTTGAACGTACAATTTGTTTCATTACGGGCCTGGATCTAGTAAAAGTGAAAATTTCTTTCTTAGACGGTCAACACTAGTTGACTTTATCTTTGTCATACCTCAATAGAAGCAAAGATCATAAAAATCCGACTACCTATTCGTTCTTGCGGTTCAAAAAGCACGTCAAGTTATGTTTTCGTTGGTTTTCCGCGTGGCCTGTCCGTGAAGAGCTTAATTTAAATTCAAAAAACTCTTAGGCTACTTGATCTCCTTTTCTTTCTTATTATATGTAGCCGCCATCGGTCGTATGTTGCACGAAGTGCATCTGCCGATCCGT